TTATTAATCATTTGGACCTCTTTCTGTAGGTTTTGAATTATTTCCAATGCTGTTTCTATCTTATTTGATTGTTCCTGTAGCGCTTTCCTGACTTCTTATTTTTCTCAACTCCATTGTAAAGTGTTTTGATACATTTTATTATCATTTTTCTGAATTCCTTCTCAGGAATTTCCAGACCTGCCTGATTTCTTACTTCTCCTACAAATTCCACTGGCTGTAAGCTTTCCAACCTTCTAAATATTCCTTTAAATGAGGTTCAGAGTTCTGGCAACATCCCCTGAGCCTGCTTGGTTTGGTATTCTGTGGTGTTTCTGATGGAGCTCCTCATTGCACATCCACCCGATCCGCCATCTTGTTTGTTCTCCTTGGGGCAGTAGTCTTAAGGGTTCCTTTAGTTTCCCTCCCAGAAAGTCTCGTTTTTTGTTTTTTTTTTTTTCCTTTTGACCTTGAATTTTGTTATTTTTGCGTGTTTGTTTTTTAACCCATTCTAACTGAGACAAAATGATGTTTTAGAGAGCGTGTATGTTTGTACTTTTACATTCAAGAAACATCCCATGGATGGTTGACGCGCTACCACACTAATCTTACAGAGACTCTCTTGTAGAGTTTAAGGAGTGAGGCCCTCACGTCTGTAACCTCTATCCGAGTTAAGCAAAGAAGCCTTCTTATTACCTTAGAAATGCCCTGGTCACTTTTTCTGTGCTGCCTCCTGTCTCCTTTTTAGAGTAACTATTCCCCGACTTCTGCAATAATCCTTTTTCCCTTAATCTTGTCCAGCTCTGAACTTCATGTGAATCGATTCATGCAGATGTTCTTTTGGGACCGTCTTTGACAAGTATCCTGTGGGAGATGCAGCCTTGTTCCGTGTGTAACTATAGCTATTGCTTCGTCACTTTTCATTTCTCTGGTATTCTGTGGGACGACTATCCCACAGTTTACAAAGCTGGGCTTATACCTACTGCATTGGTTTGAACCACAAAATTGGCAGTTCAAGCTCACCAGCCACTCCTTGGAACCCTATATAGGGTCACTATGGGTCTGAACCAACTTGACTGCACTTAACAACAACAATAACATACAGGAAATGTGTCATTATTAGATAACAACTTGTATAATAAACAACATGCATCACTATTATATATGAAATTATATACATGTATGATTTAACTATGTGAAATCGCTGGCTGTACCCATCAAAAATTGGCAATTTCTAATAATTTATCTGAGGATTCTCTGTAGGTTCTTTAATACAGAGTTATATCCTTCTTGTTGGTATGGCGCTGTGGGTTAATGCGCTGGACTGTAGAGTCTGTTTGAACCACAAGGTCGGTAGTTCAAACTCACCAGCCACTCCTTGGAAACTATACAGGGTCGCTATGGGTCAGAAACAACTCGATGGCACTTAACAACAAAAGCAACATCCTTCTTAAGTAATGACAGCTTTGTTCCTTTCCAGCCCTTCTATCTCTGAATTCTTCCTTTGCTGGCTTGGCTAGGACTTCCAGCATAATGTGGAATAGAAGTGATGAAAGTGCTATTTACATATTTACATATTGAATTAGCATGTCTTGTTTCCAGTCCTAAAGGAAAGCTTTCAACCTTGCACTGTTACATATTTCATTTATTGTAAGCATTTTGTTGATAACCCTTCTCAAGTTAAAGTTCTATTAAATTTTGCCAAGGGTTGGAATTTTTCTGTTTTTTCAAATGAGCATTGGTAGCTGAATTTTATCAAAAACTTTTCCTGCATATACCTGAGTCCTATGTTTATTTTATCTTTAATCTCTTAATTTCTTGGTTACACTAATTGATTTTCTACTACTAAACCAGCCTTGGTATTGATATATTATCATTTTTTATGTACTATTAGGGAGTGTAGTAGCTCCATCGGATAAGCAGTAGACTACAAGCCACAAGGTCTGTGATTTGAGCCCACCTGCAGCTCCTTGGAAGAAAGATGAGTCTTTCTGCTCCTGCAAAGATATATAGCCTTGGAAACCCTGTACAGGGTCGCTATGAGTCAGAACCGAGTCCACAGCACTTAACAAAACAACAAAATATATTCGTACATAGATAGGATATATTATTATACCTAAGTGTATATATGATTTACCTAATGTGTATAGATGAATAGATACATAAATATGGTTAATATATATTAACATATTATGTGATGTGCACGTAACTTTTATCTCTTGTCACTATGTTTGTGAGTGAATCTGGCTGATACTCTGACTTCCTCATACTGCCCTACTTAGTTTTGTTAGGTCAGTTATGCTAGCATGAGAAAAAAAGAAGTTGAGAGAGTTTCTTCTTTTTCTGTTCCCTGGAGAAGTTTGTGTATGACTGGAATGCTCTCCTTCCTGAATCCCTAGTTGTTGTTGTTGTTATGTGCCGTGGAGTCGGTTCCGACTCATAGCGACCCCGTTCAGGGTTTCCGAGGCTGTAAATCTTTATGGGAGCAAGACAGCCTCATCTTTCTCCCGCGGAACAGCTGGTAGTTTCGAACTGCTGACCTTGCGGTTTGCAGCCCTATTCGTAACCACTACGCTACCAGAGCTCCTTAGTAGAGCTCCCTAATGTGGTCATTTGCTATGTAGTGTTCTTTGTGTGGACATTGTAAGTTACTGAATCAGTTTCTTTAATGATGATGAGACGATTTAGGGTCTCTAGTTTTTATTGCTTGCTGAAAGTAAAGAGGACTCAAAACATTTACTGATGAAGATCAAGGAACACAGCCTTCGGTATGGATTGCATCACAATGTCAATAAAACAAAAATCCTCACTACTGGACCAATAAACAACATTCTTCTCAATGGAGAAAAGATTTAAGTTGTCAAGGACTTCAGTCTTCTTGGATCAGCTATCAACATTTGCGGAAGCAGCAGTCAAGAGATCAGACGACGTATTGCATTGGGCAAATCTGCTGCACAGGAGCTTTTTAAAGTGTTGAAAAGCAAAGATATCACCTTGAGGACTAAGGTACACCTGACCCAAGCCATGGTATTTTCAATAACCTCATATGGATGTGAAAGCTGGATGGCGAATAAGGAAGATCGTAGAAGAATTGATGCCTTTGAATTGTGGTGTTGGAGGAGAATACTGAAAGTGCCATGGACTGCCAAAAGAACCAATAGATCTGTTTTGGAAGAAGTGCAGCCAGAGTGCTCTTTGGAGGCCAGGATGGCTAAGCATTGTCTCTCATACTTTGGACATATTGTCAGGAGGGAACAGTCTCTGGAAAAGGATGTCATGCTGGGTAAGATGGAGGGTCAGAGAAAAAGAGGAAGACCCCCCAACGAGATGGATCGGCCAGGTGGCATCATTGATGGCGTCTAGTGTGGTGATGGTAGTGAGGTTGGCCCAGGATCGAACATTGTTTCGTTCTGCTGTGCATGGGGTCGCTATGAGTCGGTTCCGACTCGATGGCACCTGACAACAACAAGTTTTTATTGAGTCCATTTTGGTTAAGTGATTTTCTAGAACTATATTTTATCTAATGTTTAATATTTGTTGGCATGAATTTGTGGTATTCTCTTAACTGTTTAATATCTGTAGCATTTGTAGTGATAATTCTTTTCACATTCTTAATTTGGGGTACTTGTGCTATTTTTTTCTTTTTTATCAATTTTATCTTTTTAAAGAACTAGTTTAAGGTTGTTAATCCTTTCTGTTTTGTTCATTGTACCCTACTTTTTTTTTTGTTTTTAAGGAGACCTGGTGGTTCTGTAGGATAAGTACTGAACTGGACTGCTAACCACAAGGTTGGCAGTTGAAACCCACCAGCCACTCCACCGGGTAGTGAAAGATGAGGCTTTCTGCTCCTGTAAAGATGTACAGCCTTGGAGACCCTGTGCAGGGTACAGATGAGGCTTTCTGCTATGAGTTGGGATTGACGTAATGGCAGTGGGTTTTTTCTTTGTGCCCTAATTTTTTTTACTTTTACTGTTATCATATTTTTTTTAACTTCTTAGTGGGCCTTTGACTCACTCATTTGTAGCCTTTTTTCTTTTATAAGATAAGCATTTAAAGCTATGCTTCTCTCCATTACATTGAGTATACATTTTGATACAGCATTTTCATCAGTGCCTAACCAAATATTTCCAATATACTTTTTAAAATCTAAATAATATTCAGTAGTCTATTTCTTAATAATGTGTTTCTAAATCTCTAAACATATGTCCTTTTTCTAGGTAGCTTTTTTTAAAAAAAAAAACAACAACTCATTTCTGTGTATTGATTGCTAGCTTAACCATGTTGTGGTTAATGAACCACTTGGATATATGTTGATACATGTTTATGACCTAGGGTTATGGATAGTGTTTGTGTGTACTTTAAAAGTATGTGTATTCTGCAGTTGGTGGGTGCGGTATTTTATTTATAATCCCGGAGCCCAATTGGTTAATTGTCATGTTCATATTGAATATGTGCTTCCTAACTCTTTCATTAAATCTTTGTAGTCTTATCATTTTAAGCTGTGGAGTTGCTCTCTTTCTCCTTATAGTTTTGTCTAGTTATGGCTTTCTATATTTTCAGGCGACATTATTAAGTACGTATAAATTCTAAAGGGTTACGCTTTTTCTGGTAAACTGAGTATTTATGACGAGTGATCCTTTATTAATGACAGTGTGTTAATATAACCACACAACTTTTCTTTTGAAAGCCATCTTTTTATTTTAGACTTTTCCGTATTTGTGTTACGTGTGTATTTTGAGTTTCGTTTAAAATCTAGTGAGAAAGATAGTCTGCTAACAGGAACATCTGGTGCAATGACATTTAATGTAATACTGTTCCTTTTCTTTTTGCTTGACTTTTGAACTGATTGTTTCCTACCCGCCCCCCCTTTCCCCTGTACAGTTGGAAGTTACATGGTTGAGTCTCTTATCTTTATTTATTGAGTGATTGTTCTCTTCATTTAGTCGTTAGTCAGAATCTACAGTTAACCCTTTTATCTTCTTCCCACAGAGTTCTAATGCTTTTCCTTTTCTTTATCCCCACAGAGCTGAGAGAAGATGGTTTCCAGCCGCAGACGTACCTGGTGCGGGGAGTGAAGGCTCTGCACGCTGCTTTAAAATTATGGATGAAGAAGGAAGTAAGTTGTTCCTTTGGTAAAATAGCAGTTCTTTTCTAATGTGACAAGAACAGGAAAGCAGGGGCAGTAATAAGGGAATGGGAAGTATGCATTAACCATAGCCTGCATTGCATTCTGCAACATGTATACATGTGCTGGGTCCTCTGAATGTTTATGAGATTTGGTCTTTAATCTGAAAAAGACCATAATTCACATATACCCAGGATATCAAATAAGACATTATAGTGCAGTATACACAGTGCTTTTGTAAAGTTGGCGCAGGACCAGGCGCAGGACTACTCTATAGTGCATAGAGTCACTATGAGTTGGTACCAACTCCATGGCACCTAACAGCAACAACAACACATGCACTGTGCTAAATCTTAAGCATAATCTAACATAATCCTCAAGGCAGCCATCTGAGGTCTGCATGCTATTGTTTCCCATTTTACAGAAGGGAAAGCTGAGGTTCCCAAGGTCACTGGAGGCACTGGAACTACTTCCAGGTCTCTGTGATCACAGAGCCTGGACCACTGTGCATTGTCAGAGTTGAGGCTTCAAGCATGAGCTTCCAAGTCTCACTAAAATGTGTCCACTTGATACATTTGAATCTCCCACCTTCAAGAGCTCTCCCTGTGGAAGGGAATACACAGGGGCTTGAAAAAGTTCATGGGAAAATTCCATGTTCTTTTTTTTAAAGTTTTTATTGTGAACTGAGTGTTAGTTCACATGGGGGAACATCAGTTTTACACTCATCATTTCATTGCAATGATTACGGTCTCCTCTGCATCATCATGCAACAGCATTTGCTTCTGTTCCCTGGTTTTTGTTTTTTTTGTGTGTGGGGGGGGGATGTACACAAAAACACTTAACAATCAAAGGACACATCTGCAAGCCTGTCTCCTGGCCACCAGCACCTGCCCGCCAGCACATAGCCTTTTTCTTTCCAAGAGTCTAGAGTCCTCAGCTGCTCTCTCCCTTTCCATGTCCCCATCTCTGCCTCCAACTCTGGTATCACTGCTTCTCTGGATAGGGTCCCACATTCTGCTCATGCTCTTCTCCCTTGATGGTCCTAGGGTCCTCTGTTCCTGTACTGTGAGATTAACTAATCCCCTCTTTTTGTTACAAACTTCTACCTTTACAGTTGTGACAGTTGCAATCAGTCATGATAACAATTACTACTGAATCATAAGAATCTTATCCCCATCTCTTTTCTCCAGACCCATCTAGACAAAGTGAATATTATTCGGTGGGGGTTCTACCTTCCCACTTACTCTCTGAAACTAAACTCCCTCTTGAAAACTTGTAAGCCAGTCACTTCATGCCTTTATAGCCCCCCTCATTTTAGGTAGCCAATGTCTAAGTTGCCTGTCCCTATCTACCCTGTATACAGATGGGATAGGATTGATCCTTGATATGAAGCCTCCTTCCCTCTCCGTTGCTATTTTGAGCTACTACATCCATAAGTATAGGTCAAGCTCATCAAATTGTAGCAATTCACACTTGTTTCCTTTATCAAAAAAAAATTTTTTTTTTTTTTAATTTAATCTTCCCCTAGTCAAGTTCTGCTCATCAAGCCATCACAGCTAGATTGAATGGGTACTATCTACAAGTTTGGGTCCATGTTCTTTTAATTGCATTTTTCCATGAACTTTTCCAAGCCTTCTTATGTTTCCTTTCATTATGCTTCCAGAGCATATTTCTTGTGCTCCTGTTATAAGATTTAAGTCATATGTGTAAGTAATGTGTCCCTGTTTCCCTCATGAAGTTCAGAAGCTCCTAAGGAATAGGAATAATCTCATCTTCATCTCCCCATGGAATTTCACTTACAGCACTTGAATAATGATAACTCTGTGAGCCAGTGGAAATGCATTTGCTTGTGAACTTCTTGAAGGTCCACTTGACGTAAAAATTATGCTCTTGAGACGTGTTGGGAGACAGGAAGCAATCGGCTATCTTTGCCGTAGTTTCCCTTCCTCTTCACTTAGTTATCATTACATTGGGTACCCAGTATTGCAGATGACTGTGGGCAGGTGCAGAAAAAAATCATGTCTTCATTGTCTGAATGAGAAGCAAAGAGAAACACGTTAGAAATTATAAACCAGAATAAAAACAAAAGATAAGTTGTAAGCATTGCGGTTTGTTACATGCTGAAGGCTTTTGACTAGTAGTTCTCAAATTTGTGTGTACATCAGCATTGCCTTTAGAGCTATGTAAAAATAGAAACTCTGGGTCCTCCCTCTGCTTATAACAAACTTCATGGAGTATTTTGATGCATATACCAAAATTTGATATAAATAGTAAACAGTGTTAACATATTGCAGTACATTAATTTAGATTGAAATGCATTTTTTTGAAAAAAGCATGATGTTTATATTTCACTGTTAAATTGGCTCTAAAATGAGAAGCAGCTTAGCATTGTGGGTAAGAGCATGGTACCTGGAATCAGATGTTGCATTCAAATTTCAAATGTTTGCTTTGCCACTAATACCAACTAACAGACTAGCATTGTGACCTTGGGTAAATCAACCAACTCTGCTTCAGTTCTCTCAGTTGTAAGTTGGGGATTAGAGGAGTGTCTTTGTTCTTGGGAGGGTTCAGAGAGCTACTGAAAAAAACAGAAAGAGACCTGAGAGACTAAGGTTGTGTTAGTGCTTGTGCTTCCCTTACAAGTCCTCATGTAAAATGAGTTAAATGTTAGATTTAATCATTTACTCTAGTAATAATCAGCTGTAGTTAGAACATGGCAGGTTTAAGGTGTAGGTTACAAGGTGACTTATTTGGAAGAATTTAGGATAGTGTCTTGCCTGGTCCATAGTTGGTCCTTAATGTTTCATGATGTTATTCATTTATTTGAACAAATGATAATTAAAACCAAGGCAAACAGTATAACATAAAAGTAGAAACCAGTGTGTTGAGTCTATCTAGAGAACTAAATATTCTCAAATTGTGGAGACTAATGTTTGAAAATGGGCCTAGTAAATAATGGGTAATAGTTAGCAGTTTAGTAAACAGGTAACTTGCCAATGAATTATTCTTCCCTGTTGATGGAATCTGAAAAGGGAAAAATATTTTATTCTAATTAGACTTCCTATAGAGTCCTGGTCTGGCTCTGTAGGATAAACTACAGGACCATAAGGTTGGTTTGAACCACAAGTCGGTGGTTCTAACACACCAGCCGCTTCTCAGAAATCCTATACTAGGTTGCTGTGAGTTGGAACCAGCTTGGCAGCACCGAACAGTAAGCTTCCTTAAACACCCTCCTAATTAATGAATTCAATTATAAGGCCATTGAACAGGGAGTTTGGGAAGAACACAGCATCAGTTTTGTGACGTCCTTGTCAAAGATGCATAGCTTGAGTCTCAGAATGAAAAAGATAAAACCAGTGAGAAACTAACATTGCTTTAGTGCTCGTGTTTACAAGTCCTTTTGTAAAATGAATGAAAAGTTAGGTGTAATCAACTCAGTACAAAGCAAAATTCAGTGCAAGACAAACGAAACAACAACCGTGTCTCAGAGTTTGGTATATCAAGGAGAAGCTCCTCAGGAGATCGTATACCAACTCCATGAGCTCTCAGACTTGACCAAGTAAGAGACAGCAGGATATGTAGCTCCTAGTGTGGTGCTGTAGGATAAACACTGTACCACAGGTTGGTTTGAACCTCAAGGTCAGCAATTCAAACTCATGAGCCGCTTCTCAGAAACCCTATACAAGGTTGCTATGAGTCAGACCTCACTTGACCACATATAACACCAACAACATAAAAACAAAAGAACCCTTTTTAATCTAAATTAAAGTATAAGATAAGTAACTCTGATTTTTTTTATCTTTGTTAATCCATATACAGCTTGTATCTGAACATGCCTTTGAAATTCCAGACAATGTTAGACCTGGACATCTTATTAAAGAACTTTCTAAAGTAATTCGGGCAATAGAGGTAAGACCAGAAACTGTCATGTAAATGCTTGGATGGTCCAATTAATTTCAGCTATCCAGAGATGAATATTTGCTAAGTAATTAGAGAAGGTGAGTGAGTCAGGCATGGTGGAGCTATGTACACGTAGTAGGGATGATATTGGGGGTAGGGCAAGGAGAGCCACTTGACTGAAAATCAACTTGGTTAGATGAGTGCTTCATGTTAAAAGCGCCTAAAATCATAATTAGGAGCTATCCTAAGTACTTCAGAAAGAGTGTTATATTCAGTCCTTCTTCAGAAAGGTGCTTCTGTTGGTGTATAGCTTGATTTGAGAGGAAATTAAGTGGAGGGGTGGAGGCCAGCCTATCAGTTTAAAAGCTTTGATTAGGGCCATGTTTGGAATATGGAAAGAGGCCTATAGCAAGAAACAATTAAAACGCTGAGGCTTGAGTTCCTCGATTATGTCTAGCTATTTCCTGATTTTAAAGAGTGATGGTAATTGCATAGAAATATATTTAGAATAAAAAACATATATAATATTCTGTATAGTCTTCAGTGTGTATATAATCCTATGTGTAAATAAATTCCATGCATGAGAACAACTAAGCCTGAAAATGCACTCAGCGGTGAATGACAAAATTCTAAGTCTTTACTGAGGAAAGTCAAACCGGAGCTGACTAAATGGAGAGTCTCGTTTCTGAAAATACACCAACGTGAAATCAGTATTATAAATTGAAAGTGGTAAAATTTATCTGGAAGGTAATTGCACAGTAGTGGCCAACGACATTTTCCCCCCTGATTTGGGTAGGAAGTACAGAAGGCAGCTAGAAGGCCAGTAGGGACGTGTACAAAGGACGTTTCAGGCATCCTTCTAGAGAAGTGAGAATGTTTCCTAATTGTGGAAAATAGTCACATTTTGCTATATGCTGTGTAATCCCCTGGAATCTAGAGTTTTATCAGGTGACGTCAGGTGTGTGAGACATCAGTGGGGAGAATGGCCACACTCGTACCCTGCTGGCAGGCGGGAGGGGAGTGTAGATCTGTTTCTGCTTCTAGGTGGTGTATACCCAGTAAGTAAGGGGGTTCCAGGTACTCTTGGTAGGTTGAACGTACCTGCTCACCATTACCATCTCTTGTGATAAAAATGACAGTAAAAAAAATAGAAAAGACATACCGAGGAAAAAGAAAATGATAGAAATGAAACGTCCAGCATAGTTTAGGAAACTGGAAAGCAGCTGGGCAAGTGATAGTGGGCTCAGTGGGTCAGCGAGAGCGGAAACCCAGCTGGGCACCTGGGGGAGACTGGCATTGGGCTGATTCATACAACAGAGCTTCCACAGATTCAGAAGTGGGAACCCTAGACCCTCTCAATATTAGAATGGAAGGAGAATTAAAAACTGGATTGATTACAAGTCATCGTAGGAAGCAAATAGATCTCCAGATCCCCTCATTAACACCTGCGGGTTACTAGAGGTTTACTGTTTGAGAGGTTGACCTGGAGACTGTGGGCCCAGCTGAAGGGAGACAGAGACCATACTTAAAAACAGAGGATTAGGTGCCATAGGCTACACATTAAGGGACTCTTCCTCTAGTTGATTTCCAACACACCCGCAGCACACGGGCAGCTTGGTGGGTGGGAACAGATCAGAGGACCTCTGATGGCTTCTCTGGGCTCCCAGAGCAATTGGGCCAGGTTGGATCTGGAGAATGCCAGACTCTAGGGGCAAGGTGGCCAGTGTCAGCAAATCAGAGTTCCCTTAGATTTGAATTTTTCATAAACAGTGGTGTTTTTTAGTATACATGTGCCCCCAATATGAGGGGGCTTCAGAAAGTTCATGGAAAGATGAAATTGGAAGATAATGGAATTATCTGCATAGGCCATGTTCTTTATTGTTCCTGTGAAATTCACCTGACGCTTAATGTGTGGGACTTCATCTCGCAGTCCTTTCCAAGTGAGACATCTCTACAGAAAACTATGGAACTGATAAGATCACTAAAGCATTCTTCTGAAGAGGATTTTGGGGCCAAATAGTAAAAAGTACATAAAAGACAACACAGATGGAAAATGAAGCAGTGTATAAACTCAAGGATGCAAGAAAGAAATAAAATGTTAGTTTATGCTGCCTGGCAGTGGGTTGCAAATGGTTCTTACTGAGTCCAGTGTAAAGCCTGAATGTTGAAGAAAAGGGTAGCATCTGTGTGTCTGGGAGAGACAGCCCAGTGTTCAGACTTTATCCTGTCTGTTATAAGTATGTAATAGCTAGACATGTTATTTAGAAAATCGGAGGCATCCTTGACCCAGTACTAGCCCATGATCGTGAAACCCAATTAATGATGAGTACCTCAAGCTCTGGTAGCGTAGTGGTTACGAATCGGGCTGTGATCCTTAAGGTCAGCAGTTCGAAATTACCAGCCGTTCCGTGGGAGAAAGATGAGGCTTTCTGCTACCGTAAAGATTTACAGCCTTGGAAACCCTGTACAGGGTCGCTATGAGTTGGGACTTACTCATAACCACCATCACCTCAAGCCTAGTGCACGCATAACAACCGTCTATGTGAATGTGAGCTGATAATAGTTCATCTCCAGATGAGCACTTTCAGGGACAGAGAGCCGGTGTTAATGGGGCAGAAACTGTGACTAGGAATGGTGAGAATGGGGACCCTTATGAAGAAGGTGACTGGTGGCACTCATGGAGACATTGGGAATGTGTGTATATTGCCACCCCAAATCAATAATGTATGTCACAGACAAAGAAATGGGAAGGCAAATAACTGAAACACCACCAACAGCAGCACAGCCCTCTTGACTTTTAGTGATTGCCGTTGCAGGGAGACTTGGTGGTGGGAAGAGCAGACTGCTACCCTTCCTGATGGGCCTTGTGGGGCTTTCAGTGTCTGTGTGTGGCTCCAATTAAAAAAAAAAACTGTCATTGGTTATTGATCACAAATGTGTGTAAAGGAATTTTCATCCCAGGAAAAGCTGAGAGCAGCCTGAAGAGCTGCCAGTAGAGATTCAATCACCACATTGTACCGTAACCACTACACTTGGGACGCTACACAGCCTGTAACATGATGCTGAACATCAAGGAAGTCTGTTGATAGCACATTACGTGGAGGAGAGAAGAGAGGAAAGGTGATATAGACCTCAGGACAGTGGATGTGGAAGGTGGAATCCTCTAAGGAGTGTGTAACAACTCACCTGCCGAATCCACGTGCCCTGAAAATGGATGGCACTGGAGTGTTGGGCCCATACCCAGCTGTCACCGGCAGTCAGGACGTGTGGGATGTGTGCGAGAGGGACGGGAGCAGAAGGGGGCAAGGCAGTGTCAGGGGTTCGGATCTCAACCCGCCTCCTCCCCGGATCCCCCCACCCCGCGGATGCTACGCCGTGATGAGTAGGAAGACCGCTGCGGTGAGCCTTGAAGCAAAGGGCTCAGCAAAGCGATTTGAATCTTACGGCTGGGTGATGGGATGGAATGGGCTTTGTTTTCTGGAATAGTTTTAAGCTGATTACTCAGGCAGGTGTGTAACTTTGCCATTAAACAATGCTCTAAATTTAACTTTTAAAGGAGGAAAATGGCAGACCAGTTAAATCTCAGGGAATTTCTACTGTGTGTCCAGTTCCACGACCCTCACATGAAGCAACATCCCCATACCATTCCCGTCGGAGGATGCGGAAACTTCGAGACCACACTGTCCGGACTCCTTCTAACCTTGACATCTTAGAGCTCCATACAAGAGAAGTCCTCAAAAGGCTGGAGATGTGTCCATGGGAAGAGGCAAGTAGGGTGCTCCAGCAGGACTGAAAGGGCCTGGTCCTTCTTAGGATTGCTCTTTGTCCCACGTTGTAGGGCTGAGCCAGTAGACATGCCTGTCTGGGGCATCATGGCGGAGGTCAGGGCTGTGCACATGCTCTTCTTGGTGCCGGAGTAAATAGCAGTGAGGGCAGAGCTCCAGGCTGAGATGGAGAGGGTGGGAGACAGAGCCCAGGGCAGAACACAGGGCAGAAAGGCGGGGGGACGGGGTAGTCAGAGCCTCTGCGGCCACATTGGGACTGACAGCAGTCGAGGACACACAGGGGTTAGAGGATCAGCACTGTGAACAGAGGCAGGAGGAGTGTCGACATCCTGGGGGACTGCTGGAAGTGTCCAAGTCAGAGCCAGCCTTGCATTTTGACAGGTCTCCAGGTGGTTCCTGAACCCCTAACAGTCTGAGAAGTCCTGACCCAGGGACCTGAGTGCAGGTTTGGGGGGACTTGAGGTCCCTGACGGTGAGACCCCTCTACCACATGTAATTTTACATCTCAGGCAAGGACAGACAGGAATTTACATTGAGAAAAGGAGAGGTGTCTCTGAATTTAAGATATTTAAGAAAGTTATAGAAAAACTAATTTTATGTGAATATTTGTATTGTTTGATGATTTTTTGTTGTTGTTGTTGTTCCAAACCTATCTAACCCAGAGACATGTGGAGAAAGACTTAGCTTATTATGAAAAGTTGTATTTATTTTTGAGGGAAAAGTTTTGCCTCAAAAAATTAACCCCTGTTGCCCTGTGGTGGCCCGTGTCCCCATATACGGTTGCTGGTGCTGTGGGGACAGATTGGCTCAGTGGGGTGGGAGTGGGGAGAGGATGGACATACCCCAGCCAAGGTGCAGCCTCCCCAGCTGTCTACAGGAGAGAAGCGTCTAGGAACTCACTTCGTGCTGCCTGTGCGTTCCACCTCCTAAGACCCTGGGCTAGAACCCTCGCTGCCAGGTGTGTTTGAGGGCAGAGGTTGAGCGTTCTGCTTATATACTTTCAGGACATCCTGAGCTCTAAACTGAATGGAAAATTCAACAAACATCTCCAGCCATCTTCCACGGTCCCTGACTGGAGAACAAAAGATAATGACCTGCGATTACTGCTGACCAACGGAAGGATAATTAAGTATGTAAAGTAGGGCTCACCTGGTCCACAGCTGCCTGGAATGTGGGCTGAGTGTCTCGCTCGTTGAGGGGAAGGGACACTGTGTGGCACAGAGACTTGCACTGTATTCTGACTTCATTCTCTTCAATGATGCAGAGACGAGAGACAGCCCTTCACAGACTCCAGTCTTTATACAGCGGATAGTGAAAGTGAAGAGGACAAAAGAAGGACCAAAAAGACACAAATGAAGAGAGAAGAGAGTTCAGGACTAGAGATGGTGGAGAGAGAAGAATCTCAAACACCACTAAACAGTATGTGTTGGAAGGCCTCTCCATTATTAGGTGACAGTATACAAAGTACAGCTTCCATTTGTGAGGGCAGTGACATTTTCTGTCTCTGACACTCCAGTGCCAGAACAGAGCCCTGGTGGCACTATGGGATAAACACTGGGCTGCTAACCGCTAGGTCAGCGGTTCAAACTCCCGTTCCACAGGAGAAAAACGAGGCTTTTTGCTTCTGGGAAGATTTACAGCCTCAGAAATCCTAGACAGGGTTCCTGTGAGTCAGAATTGACTCCGTGGCAATAAGTTTGGGGTTTTTTGGTTCTCTTGAAGAAACAGAAGTGTTTCTGGGCAGTTCCTCCTCGGGAACGTGCCACCCGTCCCTAAGGGCCCATGTCATAGTACCTGGAAAGGTGGCAGCGTGATGGCCATGTGGTGGAGCCTTAATCCCATGTCACAGTGTCTCCAGGCTCTCAAAGAGTCACGGGACACGTACGTGTTCATCACCCATTTGACCTCACCTCCAAATGATTACACTCCGATCCAGCTGCCAGTGTAGTGTACATCTGACGCCAGATGTCGTGTTAGGAAGCGTGTGGCACTCAACAACAACAACATGTGGTATGAGGCTGTGAAGGACCTGCGTGTAGTGGTCTCAGTTGATTGCCTGTTGATGAGACTGCCTCCGCCAGGATTTTTATTGATTCTCACCGTTGGGCAGAACAACCCTGTCTCCTGTAGGTCTGACGTCTTTGAACCAAGTCTTCATTTCTCATAGTGGTGCAGGATCTCCCTCTCCACTTCCGTTTTTAGAAGTTGTTAACTTGAAAATGTTGACAGTTACTGTTCCAGATAAGCATCATTTATTTTACCAGGTTGGATACATCAGTGACTGCCAGTTCCAGGGAGATTTGCCCTCGCTGTGGTTGGCTGTTCCACGTTGTACACACGCCAGGGAACAGGCAGCCCATCAACAAGAATTCGCAGTTGCTGGGAGCCGTGCTCGTGGGAAGCAAAGGCAGAGCCAAAGCCCTGCTTAGAAGCTTTTTAGTTCGTGCTCCACTTACTGGGCTTATTAGGTTGAGGGGAGCCATCTTTCTGTTTTCTATTGAGACCACTACTAATACAGAAGGGGACATGATAAACAGTCTGTTTCCATTTTGGTGGTTTTCTGGAAAGAAATGTAAAACCATCAACCTGACCCAAGTAAGGAATGTAATCTGTTTAAGAACATATTTCCATCTGTGTCTTGATCATTTAGGGAGAAAGACTTTGGGAGGGAAAAGAAATGAGAAGATGAAGAAAGAACGGAAAGGGCTAACAAGACCTGGGTGGTCTTTCGAGGCCCTCGTAGAGTCCTGGTCCCTAGAGTTCTGATGGCTTTCTCCCATCTCTCAGGGTTTTTACTAAGTGTGAAGTCAGAACTCAGGAGCAGATCATCCGAATACTCTGATATGTCTGATTCGGAAGACTCTGGACCCGACTGCACTGCACTGGTATGCCGGGGACCCTGGGCCTGTGCACTGGGGATTGGGAAGGTGGCACCACAGACCATGACAGCTTTCCCATTTCTGCAGTATGGGTCTCTTCCCCTGTTCGTGACTGACCGCATTTAAATAATTTATTGTGTTTTTTGGTGACTTAAGTTCCCACTCAACAGTGTCTCCACAGATTGCTCAGTGACATTGGTTATATTCTCACGATTGCCATTCTAGTTGTGCCGCTTGATGAGTGTAGCTCTTGGTTGGCTAGGTTCAGAATGCTGGGAGAGCTTCTGCATATACTAGTCTGAGGTTTCTCATAGGTTCTGTTTCATTTTACCTCAAAGAAAACCTATACTGTTTGTTTATTAAGCCTTCATGTTACTGTGAGCTTGGTGGCACAGTGATTAAAACACTTGCCTGGTAACTGACAGGTTGGTGGTTCGAATCTACCAGCTGCTCCACAAGAGATTGATGGGCCGTCTGCTTCTGTAAACGTGGCAGCCTTATGGAGCAGTTCTGCTTTGTCACGTAGATTCACTAGCGAGTCGGAACCAACTCAGCGGCCCTGGATTTAGATTACTTAGTTACTAGACAAGGTCATCTTTTTTTTTAATGTGAAATACAGAAACAATTCCATAATAATTTAAATTCTAGATCTCCCTAATGGACAAAGTCATCTTTTTTGGTAAGGGAAGGTATCAGTTTGTACAGACTTATGTAACTTTGCTTCCATTTGATGATTATCTCAGAAAAATAATTTTACCCCTGAAGAGTCTGAAAGTTCAGGTGATGAGAAGAAACAAGAAATAACATCAAACTTTAAGGAGGAATCTAATGTGATGAGGCGCTTCATTCCAAAGACCCAGAAGCCGTCTAGAAGTGAAATTCCTGTTAAAAGGTAGGCTTGCTTTGGGTAGTAGTCTTACAGTACTCTGACACCACGATACGAGAACGTTTTGTAGTTAAAGATGTCAGAAATCTCACCAGAGGAAACTGGGCTCTTGTCTCTGGTCCTCTGCTCTTCAGGGAGTGCCCTACCTCGACCAGCACAGAGGAGGAAGCCATCCAGGGCATGCTGACCATGGCGGGGCTGCACTATTCCCCATGCCTACAGAGGCCAGCACGGAACACCGACCACAGCAGCACGAAGAGAGAGACTGTCCATGGCAGTGACCGTGAGGCCAGGCCACTGTGTCGCATTGACAAACCCGTGGAATGTGGTAAGGAACACAAGCTCTCAGTCCCTAAGAAGCAACATCTGACTTAGCTGCGTAGCTCCATGATCCGAGTTTAGGTTAGGGGTCATCTGGGAAGACAGTCGATTGCATGTGTTGAGTTGGAAACAATGTTAAGAATATTGGCCAAAAATCACATAGCACTGCAAGCTGTGTAAGGAAACCAGTTTGAGAACTCAGACTGGACCTAAGGGAGATGGTCACTGCCTGCTGCCCCTGTCACGGCAGTAGGCTGGTGACTGGGTCTCCCTCTTACCAACGGTAAAGTTGATCCCAGAAGAAGGTGTGTTGGATAGTTTGCACAGCCTGAGCAACCCCCTCCTTTCTTTTTGGGAGGGAAACCATTTCTTTCTGACTGGGGGTGTGGCCTTGGGAAGGAAGCAGCTGGAAGGAGAGTGAGTCCCTGGCAGTGTGAGCCGTGCTGCAGAGCATGTGTTTCTCTGTGCCTGTGGGACCATGGGACCAGATGACTCCCTCAGAGTTGGGAGGACTGGGGAGAAGGTGGTGCTACACCCAAACCAACGCCTGTTGTGACCATTGTGTTGGCACCGATGTACTTCCATGTCCCCCACTGTACAATTACCAAAGACATGACCAAGTGAGGCTCACTTCAGCAGCTAGTACCCAGTGGTGTTGGGATTTGAGCCCCAGATCTTTGCTTACTATAGAAAAGAAGATTAACTTTCATAGCGGTTACTCGCCTAAAGTTGTACTGGTGAAAGAGGAAACCCAGTTCAGCTCTAGGGTCTGTCTGTGCTTCCACTAAATCACTCTGTTTCCCTCTATCTCCTTGGTTCCTTGAAAAGAAAGCTTTTATGGAAATCCTACAAAATTCAGGCTAACATCTGCCTTTATTCTCTGTGGGAATGTACCATTTTTATAGAAACAACATTATGTTTGGCTTACCATATAGGACAGATGGCTGCAGTATCTGACTCGAGATTGTTCACTGAGCATCACCGAGAGTGTCCTAGAAAGACGGTCTTTAGGAGAATTGAAAGACTTAATGGGCTAGGCAGAGAGCACCTTACTGTTCTATTTTTGGTTCTCAGGCCAGGGAAGAGTGTGGTAAAGGTACGTGAATGAATGTTTAGAGAGTTAACATGCTGTCTTTCAATGCAACATCAAAGTAAAATTGCTTTTGATGTTAACCATCAGACTCACTTTGATTTCTACAGTTACGTTGTCATGAAGCTAATTTAATGAAAGCTTCTCTTTAGGGTACCATGTCAAGACTGAGGATCAAGAATTGAGGACTTCTTCCTGGATCAAACAATTGGATACAACTTCCAGATTCACTCCTCAGGTAGAGTTAAGTTTTGAAACGTAAAAGGATTTAGAATGGTTGTTAACTTTGTCACTGTTTATGGTGTTTTAAACTACAACTAGTTGTCAGTGACTGGAGTCCTGGTGTGGTACTGTAAGATAAGCCCTGGACTGCTAACTGCATAGTCAGCAGTTCAAACCCACCAGCTGCTCCTTGGAAACCCATTAGAGAGTCGTTTTTGAATTGAAACCGACTCAATGGCACTTAACAACAACAACAAGTTGTCAGTGACGAGATCTGGGAAGCCCAGGTAGCACACGTAAGTGCACGTTTTGAGGGATTCTGAGATCCTGAATTCTGCGAGGCTCTGGAGAAGAATTGCACCTGGGGTGTTGGGTAGTGTGAGCACATGAGGAGGGCTGGGGCCGGGCCGGGCCAAGCACCTCTGCTGCCCACCTTGCTCTCTCTCTGGTCTTGTTTCTGACATGTTATGATGCAACTTCAGGAGTGACTGCTTTCCAGAATGAGGTGACCGTCAGCAGGGTGGCCAGGGAAGCTCAAGCCCAGTCATTGTGACTGTGCCGAGGTGCAGACAGTTCATGGCTCCCTCACCTTTCCTCTCCCTCAGAGAGTCATCAAGAAGGAAGGCTCCACAGAGCTCTTCCAGAAGACGCAGAGCAGGAGCCCCGGGGACAGCAGCGGGGCGGGCGTGCCGAGTGGGAAGTGCGGGCAGAACTCAAGCTTGCTCAGCAGTGACAGTCTCAGTCCAGAGCGGCCAGGCGGGGAGACCTCCTTTTCAGTGCCCCTGCACCCCACCAAGAGACCTGCGTCCAACCCACCGCCTGTCAGCAACCAGGCAACAAAAGGTAATGTCCACCTTTCAGGGGGTGATGAGGTTGTGTGCCCTGACTGGAGAGGTGGTCAGAGTGCCCGAGACTCTTGGTTGGGGTCCTGCACTCACTTGGGGCGCTTGCCGTCGAAGACAGTGCCCAGGCCACTGAGGGGATGGAAGGACACCTGGCCTGCCTGAGGAGGGAGCAGGTCCTGGGAGGGCCTGAGGAGAAAACTGGCAGACTGGGGAATGACGGAGCAGGAGGTGGCATGCCCTGGTTCCAAGGTTCCAAGGAGAACAGCAGCGTGTGGGGTGTGGTGAGATATGGGGGAGTTTGAGTTGGTCCAGCAGGACCCCGTGAGACCGTGTAGCTCGTCCTTACAGATGGCTCTTCATGGTGGTGTCCTTGGAGCAGCATTCAGTGTCACGCTATTCCTGTGTTGTAGGTAAACGTCCAAAAAAAGGGATGGCAACAGCTAAACAGCGTCTTGGGAAGATTCTCAAGTTGAACAGAAATGGCCACGCTCGTTTCTTCGTGTGATGCTGCTGCTAATGCAGCCGCCCTTGCCTCCCTCGGAGCCGGGTGTCCGCTGCCGCAGACATGCACGTCCAGGGGAGGCCACTGCCAGGAAACCAAGTGATCCGATGCTGCATTGTCACTGTGCCACACCCACTCAGCAATAACGTCCGGACCTGGTGGGGCGAAGGAGGAGGAGGCGGGAGAACCTTCAACGAGACCTTGAACTGGAAGGGTCTCATGTCAGGGCTTGAATTTCATTTTGTAGTTGGTAGCAGCTTGATTTCTTTTCAGTGATAGGGTAAAGAATTATCAATAATTTATTTAACAGATTTCTTTTTTTTTAAAGTTAACAGCCTTTAAATTCTTTCTCTTTTCTTTTCCTTTTTTTTTTTTTTTAAAGCTATTTATTTGGAAGATTTCTGGAGAAAAATATCTCACTAATTTAGATTTAAGAATGTGAAGGTTTTTAAATTATTTTTGATAGCGTGTGTGTTACATGTGGGGAAGCGCCACGGTAACAGGAACTAGTCTGGACTCTTAAATTTGCTATTCAGGTTAAAGTCTTAAACAGGGATTTGATGCATTAATTATTTTAAATTAAGATGTATATGAAAATCATTTTATTTTATATATTTCATGTGTTTTTTATAAGCTATTCGCTTCGCTTTTGCTAACTTCCAAGGTGCATACTGTTATCCAGGTCGATCCCCTTAGACACCCCCCACATCCCACAACCCTACCCCCTCCCTGTGCTCGCCATCGTCCCGGGACAGCCCACCAGGACTCTTCTCTTTGCAGGAAAATGCTTTCATAGTCAGTGCATAAGAAACATATAAAAGCCCCCCCACTTCTGACTCTGTGTGACCTGATGGCTTGAGTCTGCAAGAGAAACTGGCCTCTTGCATTTCCATTTCTGCTGATGGTCGATGGGTCCCAAAGAAAACAGCTTTAATATCTTCTTCCGACTTCTGGGAAAAGTATGATCTGTTTGGTGAATTTGTGTTTGTTGTTTCCCCACATGGATTCGCAGTGACGGCAGAGGGTCTGTATTATGCTGCTGTTGGAGCCGGACTGGCACCTGCCCTCTAGGCTATTGTATGACACCGTGGTGCTGTGGACCTAACTTGTTGGAAAATGGGATTTGACTTGGTAGACCCAAATCTGCATAGGAATATGCATGCCATAATGTCCTAGGCTGATTACTATAGTCAGGAACATTGGTGGCACAGTGGTTAAGTGCTGGGCTTTGAACTGAAAAGTCAGCAGTTCGAACCCACCAGCCACCCCACAGGAGACTGATGTGGCAGTCTGTTCCATAAAGGTGACAGCCTTGAGCACCCAGTGGGGCAGTTCTCTGTCCCACAAGGCTGTTAGGGGGCGGAATCAACTCACCAACAAGGAGTTTGGTTGGGATTTTAGCCAGTATTTAGTTGTATAGAAGGAAGCTTGTTGGAGAAGATCTCTGTGTATGTATGTGTATGTGTGTGTGTGTGTGGTTTTTTTGTTTCTTAACCTCTTCAAGAATGATTGAATGTGTGGGTTTGGAGTAATATGGGTGCTTTCTGCCGTGTCTTCCAGCAGTCCTAATTTAATCATGCATACTGTGGGGTGGGGTCTCATGGAGCTCCTTGACGCACAGTTTTTACTAGATGCCAGTTTTCAGTTTCTTATGATAGTTTATATTTTCTTTTCTCCTGATCCCCACCCCCTGACCCAGCTTAGAAATAAGTGATTTCTAGGAATGGAGCCTGGAGATACACCTGCTTCTGCCACTAGAGTGTTTTCCAAGTTCCTTCACAGAATTTCTAGGCAAATAAGAGAAAATGAGGTTTTATGGAGAAGAACTAGTACCCTAGTACCCTACTATGGATTTGTCGTGTACTCAGTGGAGTGGCTGGTCTTCCCTTTCTACAAGGGAGCTTCGAAAAGGGCATGGGAAAAATGCCATTATCTTGTGAGTCCATTTTTCCATGAACTTGTGGAACCCTCCTCAGATATTATCCCCTAAAAGATTTGTGGTGTTGTGGACTAATGCACTGGCTGCAAAGTTGGTTTGAACTGCAAGCTGTTCAAGCTCATCAGCTGTTCCTAGAAATCCTATACAGGGTCCCTATGAGTCGGAACTGACTCAACGGCACTTAACAACAAAAAAGAAGTAAGAAAGAAAATGTGTACCATCATCTTCCATAGTTACATCCCAATGTGTACTTTTCTCAAAGATAAATCTTTCTTGCTCTGTCTCTCCTCTAATTTTTCAAGGAAGAAATCTCATTAGCTCTCAGCCTAGTGAACCTCTTGACCCCAGTGACGAGGCACCACCCTCTGAGCCTTATGGAGGAATGCTCTCTTACAGACGCTCCCTGGGGAGGGGGCAGTCCGACTGGCCCACTTCTCTCAGGTGCCTATCCAAATTCTACCCACCTTCCCTACACACTGTTGTACTGTGGTGGTTTGGTTTTCTCTAAACCCGATGATAGTTTGATTGTTTTAAGAAATAACTCTAATTTCTCTTTCTAGCTATATCATCTGGATTCTTTCCTTCCATTTTTCATAGCACTAGTTAGCCTTTCTGCCTTTTCTTTAGCCATAAAAATGAAAATGAAACCATTCATTTGTATGGATTACAGCAGTAGCCAGTAAATATTAATCTGAATCATTTTTACATGTAGGTGCTGTGGATTCATCAGTAGCAGTTTTAGCCCCTTAACTGGCAAAGTGAAAAGACTTAGTAAGATTACGTAACCCCTCTCAGAGATTCTTTGCTGAACTGGTGGAAAGTCAGCTGCGGGCCCGGTGACTCCCCGAGTCGGACCTGTGGAGACTGGACCTGGGGGTGATGGCAGTGTCTGGTCCCACTGACTCTCATCTGCCAGTAGTGCTTGCTCAGACCCATGGCAGTGACGGCACTTCCCTAGTTACAGGCAGACACAGACATGCCAAGCTGAGAAGTTTAGCAGTAGCATAGATGGACTTGTGGTCCCATAGGATCCACTGCCCTGTCCCTCACAATGTCATGGTATCTTATGTTACAGTTTTGAGTAATTAGGTTGTTGTTGTTATGTGCCGTGGAATCAGTTCCGACTCATAGCGACCCTGTGCAGGGTTTCCGAGGTTGTAAATCTTTACGAGAGCAGAAAGCCTCTTCTTTCTCCCGCGGAACAGCTGATGGTTTCAAACTGCTGACCTTGCGGTTCGCATTTGAGTAATTAGGTAGACAACACAAAACTGGCAGTTTTATAATAATTCAGCATCCTCTATATACATTGAACCTGTAAAGCGTGTGAAATTGGAAATTAGAACCAAAATCACTTTATACACTGAGAGAGGAAATGTTTCAGCCCATCTTTATCACCACTTAAATACTTAGCTTGAATGCTATTCTGGTTTTTAATTCTAATGATTACCTTTTAAACGATCTGTTTGTTGTACTTAACTCTTAGGAGCTGAGACATGTACTCCGTGCCCAGCACTGCTTGGTTCTGTGGGAGAAACAGAGCTGAAGTATCTCCCTGAAAGTATCTTCCTAAGAGACAAGCAGTAGTTTTTTTTACTTCCAAGGAACTAAAGCAGAAGAGGGCCCACTCACTAAAAACAAACAAGCCAGCAGAACTTTCTTAGTTTTAACTTAGGTATGCAATGGTGGTGGTGTGGTGTGCCGTGGAGTCAGTTCCTACTCATAGTGACCCTGTACAGGGTTTCCGAGGCTGTAAATCTTTATGGGAGCAGAAAGCCTCCTATTTTTCCTGCAGAACAGCTGTTAGTTTTGAATCGTTGACCTTGAGGTTAGTAGCCCAACTCGTAACCACTGTGCTACCACAGCTCCTTATATAATGGTAGAAGTGGTCAGTAAAAGGATCTACATTCTTTTCTTGTTTCTTTTCATTGTAAGAAATAGTACAGACCTGAATTTCATGTTGGTCACCTGCTGTGTATCTTGGACAGCAGCAGGAGGCTTGGGTGACAGCCCACGTTCTGCCGCCCGCCTGTGAATTAGCCCCTCACTGGTCCTGAACCCTCTCCTGAGCCCTCGCTTTCCGTTGGTAAGGTCAGATAAAAATGCTTACAATGGTTATCAGGTGAGAAAAATACACAGACAGGCTTCTCTTCACACCTCACTCTCACAGAGACTTCTCATTCTCTAAACTCATTGGTTTTAAAAAAAAAGCCTGAAGGCATTTTTTATGCATTTTTAAATGGAACCTGCTATCATTCAGATTTGTTTCCTGTGAAATCTATGCCCAGAGCCTGCAGCCTGTGCTTGACGTGAAAGGAAAAGTGAGATCATTTATGGATAAGAGAGTGAGCATGTTTATCCCTAATCACATGCTAAGGTATTTAAAGGAGTTACAAGAATGTTTTCATTTTTTTCTCAGAGAAAAGGCTAGTTAGTCCCTGGTGTGATGCCATAGGATAAGCACTCCACCTCAAGGTCAGTTTGAACCACAAGATCACTGGTTCAGACTCACCAGCTACTCCTGAGAAACCCTATACAGGGTCTCTATGAGTTGGAACCCACTCAATGGCACTTAACAACAACATAAAGTCTGCATCTCCTCAAGCCCTGGATTCAGGTAGGGTAGATCATGCCCAGGGAGCTAGGAAACAGACCCACACACCAGGTGCTTAGACCCGTGGGAACTCCCAAGGACAACTCTGGGCAGGGCAGGAGAAGGCACTACTGTATAGGAGGTGGGCTGGGCCGGTCTTGAGAAAAGATTCTGCTTATCTCAGAAGGTGTTCTACACAGGCCAAAACTAGTCCCCATGCAAGGACCACAGCTCTGCTACTCAAATGAACTCCCACAGCCAAGCAAATTCACTGGGAGAGACCAGGGACTTAATAGAAATGGGAACATTTTTCCAAAGATTGGCTTTTGTCATTCAGTGTTAAACCAATTGCTCCCCACATAATGATCACAAATTTCCCAAAGCCTAAGCCATGGTGAGAAGGCGGAGCCGTGGTGAGAAGGCGGAGCATTACTCTGTAGCCTAGGAAGGGGGTCCTGAATAAAAAAAGGAGAC